TATCAGGGTCTTGGGGGGCACAGCTCTACTTGACAGGCAGCAGCTATTGTTACCGACAGTTTTCAGCTCTTCTTCGAGGTGAACCATATCACCGCAGCAACATCAGGATCTATGGGCCTCAATATCCGCTGGAGTTCTTGCGAAGGGCCCAGAGACGTTTCGCATTCAGAAGATCAAAGCACATAGCAATGCCAACAATTTTGACGAAGGTGAGTTACCATTGTGGGAACGCAACCAGAAAGCAGATCAAGGTGCAGTGCGAGCAGCACGACAGCTCCAGGTACCAGCGGAGGTGCGTCATCAGCACCTCAAGGACCAGCACCTCTGCTTTCTCTTGCAATATACGGCTACGCACATTCTTGAGCGCAGGGCCAAGGAGCTGACTAGCATGGGCAGGGACAAGCGTGACCAGCGCTGCGCGCAGGCCCAGGCCCTCATCGAGGCTGACTTGGAACAGGCTTATCACCACCAGCATGATGTTGACGAGTGCGGCCCGTGGGCGCATCTCGACATGGACCAGGATGCAGAGCGCCAACCTGACCGACCTCAAATGCCACCTCCAAGCGAGCCTCAGCCAGCAGCACCACAGCCACCAACGACAGCAATACTATTACGACGCAAGTCCAAGCCACCAGCTACGACATCAAGCTTAGCGAGCAGGACGACAGCAACACCAGCGAGTGCAGCAGCCTCGAGCTCAGCAGCACCAGCAAGCGCAGCGGCACCAACTGGAGCCTCAGCCAGCGCAGCAGCAGCAGCATCACCAGGTGTAGCATTGAGTACAGCAGCCTCATCTTCTGGAGCTCCTAATTTTGATCCTGTACTTGCTAACCCACGCACCTGGAGTCCAAAGATGGCCTTCCCTGGATTCACATGGGACCCGGTGGGGCAAAACGTTGCAGAGTGGGTCTTTCAGCCAAAGTTTCCTGAGATGCTGACAAACAAACGGTGGAGTTACCAGCAGTCGTTGTTCCCAGCAACTATGTGGTATTTTGCCCAGCTGCGATGGGCGACGGACGACGCGACCAAGGCGCCTCTCTCAGTATCGTGGGCTGAATTGGCACTGGATTTCAGTATTGCAACTGGTTTGCCTCTTGTGACGCCACAGGAGAACCCGCAGGCAGCGACGCTTGAGCGCATGGCGAGATACTTCTCGACAGCAGCAGCCCGCGTCGCCAAGCTCTGCGAATGCAAACTGGCACCGAGAAGAGTATTTGTTACATGTTGTTCGCTAACGCCCTTGGGGATCAGGCAGGTCCCCGGCTTTCTATGCAGACCCACCTTCATCAACCACGATCACACGATGAAGACGCTGTACGCCGTGGCACTATCGACGACGGAGAAGAATGCTGGCATCAGAGTACCACCACCATGGACCTCGATGCCATCACCATGTTGGACACCACCCGACGTCAGAGACAACGTCAGACCGACTGATCTCGTGGCCTGTGCCGCCTTTGTTGCTCGAGAATCTGGGAGTTACCGCAAACGTGAACAGCACTCTGCGGCCATGAGCGTTGTCAGAGCGACTGTGGAGTACATGGAGCAGGAGCTACGCGACCTCCAGGGGCTCACAGGTCGAAAGAAGTTGAATGAGGAAAAGAGAATATTGCACAATCGTGAAGCACGCCAACAAGGATACCATGTTTTGGCACCGTTGTATGGCGGAGACAAGAAGCAACCACCGTCCTTGAGCTGTCTGGCCTGTGGGAGACGGACAAAGACGTTCACCGTCTCTGCGTGGGGCCGATTGCCGTGCAACCGTGATGGTTATCGCGGACCACGTCCAACGGGCCAACGCGGAACACAATGCACGTACCTCGGTTCCTGGCAACAGATGCCATGTATTTTCACCCTTCCGCGCAGACGAAGTTGATCAAGAACCCGAGTGTACACAATGCAAGCAAGTTTCTCCGAAAAGACGTCGGGAGCAGTGTTGTGCTGCAATCTGCGGCAAGCGTTGTTATGCAAGATTTGAGGTGAAATCATGGGATATGGAGTACATCACTCGTGTATCCTACGACGATGTTTTGGTAACTAATACGGCATTTCTTAGAGGACTGGTGTATCATTGAATATTTGAGTATGTGGTTTCATGTGCTTGGGTGGCATGCTATTCTCGAGGGGGGGGGGGGGGCGTAGAGCCCATGCGGGTGGGCACGATCCCTTAAATGCGACGGAGCGTGTCTCCCCATCGAGTATTCTTTTTGGTGCCATTGTGCATTTGTTCTGGTTATGGTTCTGATGCGTGTATATCTTCTTTGGGCAACGATTGCAAATCGTCCAGTGTATCTGTGCATGGTGTTTCGTTCTATCTTGGCAACTGCTATATGATTCTGGAGTATTTGTGTATCGAGGGTGGGTCGATATTGATATCACTGTTCATGTGCTGGATGTTGGTTATCATATTATTACGCAAAGTGACGTGCTGCAGGCATCCCATGTACTGGCCACAGCAGAGGGCAAACATACCTGGTAAAGTTTACGACATTCCCATGGTGGTAGAGGATGCAAATACAGAGACAGTGATTGCATCGACGCAAGTCGTACGCAGCATTGTTGAGATGGTAAAGACTACGATTACTCTGATGAGATGGTTGCAGTCTGATCTGAAATGGATATGGTGGGTGTACTGGTACGTGGGCACAGCACCGTCATAATAACGTTGTTGGCATTACTTGATGTATTGCTGGCAGTACTTCATGAAGATATTCACTGCGGTCGTGGCCAAAATGAACAACATCAGAGCAGAGAAAGGGAGGAGGAAGAGTAGGAGGCGGAGGAGGAGGAAGAGGAGGAGGAGGAAGAGGAGGAGGAGGCGGAGGAGGCGGAGGTGGAGGAGGAGGCGGAGGCGGAGGAGGAGGAGGCGAAGGTGGAGGAGGCGGAGGAGGAGGCGGAGGAGGAGGAGGAGGCGGAGGAGGAGGAAACTTCGTGCCTCGTGGATGCGGCGGCGACCCCTGGCGCGGGGATTCGAGATGGCGACCGTCGCCGGTGGCCTGGACCAGGCAGGGCCAGACCAGGGATACCCATCGGTCGTTGAAAGTACATAGGTATTTTGGAGTCCCAGATTCCAATCTACTTTAAGCGCGTTCCTGCTTCACTGATCGATTGGCTTCATCTTTTCCGTTTTTTTTTTGGGGGGCGGGCGGACACCCAATCTTTTTTTCAATGCTTTCCTACTTCATGTTTCTACCTGCTTCTTCCGACCGATGGGTAAACCTTTCCCAGAGCCTTTTGGAACGCTTTCAGAGCGTTGCAGGGAGCGCTCCGAGAAGGCCGCGGCGCCAGATAATTACATCCTCAAGGATCGCGTGGGTCTCGGAGATCCCCGAGTTGTCCTGGTCCGGTTTTGCGCTTGTCCCTTGTCCTGGGCTCGTCCCACTGGACGTCGCCAGAAGCCCGGAGAGTCGGCCGACACCCAGCGGTCCGTGTCACCGCTTTTATGACAGGAGCCCGGCACTGTTACGCGAGGGGTCCATTGTCGGGTGCGGCAAAGAGGGAGGTGATGACTGGGGGGGTGGATATTATGGCGTGGGCCATGATATCTCCCCAGTTTTCATAGCGCCTTTTCTTATTTCATTACGTCCCTGGTCCCTGGCCCCCCCTTGGGCCGCGCACATGCCGCCGATCATGATTTGCGCCCTCCCCCCCTTGGACGCTCCCCTCTTGGCCGCCCCCGAAATTTGTGCATCTGGTCATCGAACGATCCGTGTCACTGGAGCGCGGCGACCGTCCACGGCTGAGCGATCTCCGCGCTGTGCCGGAGGCCAGCGCCACAGCGCCGCCGACCGCAACGCGAGCCGCACCGCGCAGCAGCGGCGGGGTAGCGGCCCCCCCCAGAGATTCGGCGACGACGAGGAGGAGGAGGAGGAGGAGGAGGAGGAGGAGGAGGAGGAGGACAACGACGACGACGAAGACGACGAGGAGGAGGAGGAGGAGGACGAGGACGAGGAGGAGGAGGGAAGATGAGGAGGAGGAAGAGGAGGAGGAGGAGGACAAATCAAAACCAGAACCCTGGACAGAGCCCAAGTCGGTCTGATCGATCCGATTCCATGTCGACTTCGGCCTGCTATTGTGCATCCTGGTGCGGCCGATTCAATGCCGACTCCGTGCCGACGCGGACCGATCCGACGCACATTCGTTCCGATCCGATTTTTCGATTCGATGCTGATTGATCCTGCCTGGACCCCAGTAGAAAGCGATTGCCAGTGGGGGAGATCTGGCAGCAACGCCAGGACAAGTTCGCGAAATGGACTTCGGAGGCCAAGTTCGACACTTAGGCCTCATTGCAGGGCTGGCCCTGCTCGGGCCACGTTGATAGGACTTTCTGCCTTCTGCCTTCTGCCCAGACCCCATCTTTCTGCGGCTTTTTCCGAGCTCCATCGCTCTGAGGGTCCCAGGGCCCGAAACTGGCCGAAAATGTGCGGCTTGAAATTAGTGTGGCGCCCGTCGACTTTCGTCTATCGACCTGTGGGGATCCAGCGGGACAAATAAAAGCACATGCAGATAAGCAAAGGCACATCGAGGAAAAGCCAGGCAAACCCAGAGATCCCCAGCGAGATTTGGAGCAAATCGTGGCCGCTCCAGCGCCAGTCGTGGGACGGCGAACGACCGCCCCGAGCCCGAACGACCCCGCACGACCCCGCACGACCCCGAACGACCCCGCACGACCCGCATGACCCCGCACGACCCCGCACGACCCCGAACGACCCCGCACGACCCCGCACAACCCCGGACGACCCCGAACGACCCCGCACGACCCGCATGACCCCGCACGACCCCGAACGACCCCGAACGACCCCGCACGACCCCGCACGACCCCGGACGTCCGTCAGTCGTCGAGCCCCGCACGACCGGCAGCAGTCGTCGACGGCGCCTCGGCGGCGAGGCGCTTCGGCGGCGACGCCGCGCGGCGCCGAGCGGCGCCTCGGCTGCTCGGCGGAGGGCCCGGCGGAGGGCGGCCCCCGCCGGCCGCCTCTGCTGCGGCGCCGCCGCCGCCCATGGCGCCCGCGGCCCGCTCCGGGCTGCAGCGCGCGGGCCCGGGGCCCGGCCGCCGTCGCATGCCGCCGCCGCCGTCGCCCGCCGCCGCCGCCGCCGCTCGTTCGCCGCCGCCGCCGTCGTCGTCGTCGTCGTCGTCGTCGGCGTCGACCGTCGTCGTCGTCGTCGTCGTCGTCGTCGTCGTCGTCGTCGTCGTCGTCGTCGTCGGCTGCTGCGGCGGCGGCGGCGTCGTCGCCGAGGTTTTCGAGCTCTGTTCCGCCCTCTCTGGGCCTCGAGGCCTCCGTGGTTGGGGGTCTCCGCGGAGACCCTTCGGGGGGCTTCTGGAGACTGGGCCCGGCGGTCACGCCACGGCCGAGGGCGGTCCTTGTTCGCCCTTGATCCCGTAATTCCTTTTTTGTTTGTGTCCTGGACGACAGATTCTGGAAGATCTGGGCACCCCTGGACGCCTCTCGACGAGGCCCAGCTGATGGAAAGCACCCTGGGGCCCGAACGCATCCAGAAGCATGGCAAAATCGCCGTCGATCTCTGAAGGACGTACCAGCGACAACGAGGAGGCCCTGTGAGGGCCCTGAGAGGCCGAAAACTATGAGAAGACCTCTGTCTCGATTTTCTGGAGAAGCCTCTCCCCCTCCCTCTCCCGCGACTCGGAAAGATCACGCCTGAGGCTTCTCGCTGGTTCTGGTGTCCAGGGTCTGGTGCAGGGTCCAGCTCCGGGCCCCAGGGCCGTCAACCGAGCGGGCGGCTCGGGATGCGAGGTCGGCCCCAGAGACGGTCGAGATAGCCCCTGGGGCGGGCGACCCGAACAAAATTCTGTCGGGCCTGACCCTCTACGGGAGGAACATGCAGAAATAGTCTGGGGACGATTTCCCGAGTATTTTTTGATGTATTTTTGACTTCTTCATCTCTCGTCTGAAATCCGCCTGTAGGAGGACATGCCCGACCTGACCGAAAGATCGAGTCGTCGGAGATCTGGGCGGCTCGGGACGAGAAGTCGGCCCCAGAGAAGGGGTCGAGGGAGCTCGTGGGGCCTCGCTCGCCCTGTGTCTCCTGCTCCTTTGCTCTCAGCGATGTCCAGGCCCTCCAGCGTCCGGAGACATCATGCGACGGCGAGCGAAGGGAGCAATGAGAAGGAGAAGGCCCTCTCAGAAGGCGGCGGGACTTCTCAGAAGCCCTCCGGCCTTCCGAGAAGTTTTTTGTGCCTTCGGGGAAGGCTCAGGAAACTTCTCAGAAGGCCGGGGGACTTCCGAGCCCTCTGAAAAGGCCTGCCCTTGCTCGCTTCCCCCCCGGGGCGCGCCGCCTACGTAATCACGACGGCCAGGTTTTTGCCGCTTCGGCGTGCGGGGAGGCCGCCGTCGGGCCGCGGGGCAATCTCGAGAGACCACCAGTGCAGGGGACGGAATCGGGAGCTCTCGGGAGCCTGCGTCGTGAAAGGCCGCGGCGTGGGAGGCCTCGGGTCCCTGCTCGCCCGTTAGAGCCTCAGCTTCTTGCTGGTGGCTTCGTTGCCGCTCGGTCCCAGGCCTCCGAATGGCTCTTGGGCCCAAGAGTTCCCGACTGCTCCCTGGGCGGCGGAGGAGGCGGAGGAGGAGGCGGAGGAGGAGGAGGATGCGGAAGCGGAGGAGGCGGAGGAGGACGAGGCGAAGGCGGAGGAGGAGAAGGAGGAGCAGGAGGAGGTGGCGTAGGAGGAGGAGGAGCAGGAGGCGGAGGAGGAGGAGGAAGAGGAGGAGGAGGACCAGTATAAACCCAAGAACCATCAACGATGTTGAAATACACCCTCCCTCCAAGATTCCCTCTCTTAGGTCCCTACATGGGGTCACTTTCACTGAGGTGGGACAGCCGTGTGCACATCTTGAAGCGTGCCAAAACATCATTTCTCAGGACTTCAACGCCACGAGTTACCTTACTGTTACGTGTTGTCGATCCTGACTCGTGCCGGAACACCACTCGTGGGACGTCAACACTGCGAATCATCTTAAGTGTTGCGCCCTGACAATCCAGAATCGTTCCAAAACGCCGTTTATGGTACGTTGACCATGAGAATCAGTGAAACTTCTGCAGGTGTTTCAAACGAACGTGCGCGGCGCTAAAGCGAGAGTCACATGTTGAAACGGAGCCGCCCTCAATCCGTGAAACGAACGTGCGCGGCGCAAAAGCGAGAGCCGTTTTTTCAAAACCACCCGCCCTCAATCCGTGAAGTTCTTGCAATTTGTTTAAACGATTGTGCGCGGCGCGAAGGCGAGAGCCGCATTTTCAAAACGAACCGCCCTCAATCCATGAAGCTCCTCCTGCATTTTTTGAAAGCGAATGCGTTTGAAAACCACCCGCCATCCATCCGTGAAGCTCCTGCAATTTTTGACAACGAATGTGCGCGGCGCTAAGGCGAGAGCCACATTTTGAAAACCACCCGCCCTCAATCCGTGAAACCCTATCAGTTTTTGTCAGCGAATGTGCGTGGTGCGAAGGCGAGAGCCACATTTTGGAAGCGACCGCCCTCAATCCGTTGCAAATTTTTGAAAACTGTGCGTGGCGCTCAGGCGAGAGCCACATTTTGAAAACCACCCGCCCTCACTCCGTGAAACTCTTGCATTCTTGAAAGCGAATGTGCGCGGCGCTACGGCGAGAGCCACATTTTGGAAGCGGCCCGCCCTCCATTTGTGAAACGACAGTTATTTTTGAGCATCAGGATCATACGTGACGAGAAAGTCTCAGGCGAAACGCCCGGCCCGCCCTTTCGACTGGCCTCGGGGTGCGACAGGGAGGAGTTATCTATGAGGAGAAGGAGGGGAAGGAGGAGGAGGAGGAGTAGGAGGAGGAGGAGGAGGGGAGGGAGGTTGAGGAGGAGGAGGAGGAGGAGGAGGAGGAGGAGCTTGGCTGGGATCGGCTTGGAAGTCTGCGGCATGCTGATGAGAAGCACTGCCGCACGATGTCCTCCACATCGTTCGTTGGTGAGAAGCTGGGGTCGGGTTGTGCGCGTGCCTGGGTGTTCACCCTCAGGCCGCGTATGCGCACCCCAGGAAGGTCGGATTCAGCAGTGCAGACTGAGCGGAGCACGACCTTGCGCCTTTCGCCACCTTGGGCGCGAGCTGGCGCAGCTGGCGGCTGCTCGGCAGCGTTCGAAAAGATGGCGTGCAACCAGAGGCGCTCGGGCCATGGCACACCCTCCAGCGGCGCGTTCCTCGAGCCCTTCGCTGTCTCGCAGTAGTGGGGTGGGCGCCCGCCGAAAGCTTTGACAACTGCCTGCGTAGCTTCGAGCAATCATGCACTTGCTTGTGGACCTGCCCATCATATAGGCTCCACAATGGTAAAACAACACATTCTGGCGAAGTATCCAACCATATGCAGACCTGAGTATCGCAAAGCAGGCAGGACGAAGAAGGTAGAGATCCCAATGAAGACATGAGGCGTGGGAGGGGTGTGTCAGAATGGGGCGGGGCCGTCATGGGGGCGCTGCCACTGCGGCCTTGGGTGTAACTCCCCATGAAGCCAAGCAACGCGTGAGCGATGTGCCGAAACAGTGGGGCCTTTGATGGAGCTCCATATCGGGTCACGAAGCGTTTGAGGGATGCCAAAATGGGGCGGGGCCGCCATGCGGGCGCTGCCACTGAGGCCGTCGGTGCAGATCCCAGGAGGGCCACGAAGCATGTAAGGGATGTGCCCGAATGGTGCGGGGCCGCCATGCGAGCGCTGCCACTGGGGCCAACAGTGGAGCTCTCAGTGGGGCAACGAAGCCTGGGACGGGTGTGCCAGAATGGTGCGGGGCCGCCATGCGGGCGCTGCCATTGGGGCCTTTGATGGAGCTCCCTGTAGGGCCACGAAACGTGTGAGGGGTGTGCCAAAATGGGGCGGAGCCGCCACGTGGGCGCTGCCATTGGGGCCTTCGGTGGAGCAGTGGAGCTACGAAACGTGAGAGGTGCGTGCCAAAGTGGGGCAGGGCGGCTATGCGGGCGCTGCCATTAGGGCCTTCGGTAGAGCTGCCCACGGGGCCACGAAACGTGTGAGGGTTGCGTCAAAATGGGCACGCTGACGGCAGAGGAAGGAACGGGAGGGGGAGGGAGAAGAGGGAGGAATGAGGAGGACGCGCGGCGCTATCTCCTCAAAACGAGGACCCAACACCACAGGGTAGTTCGGAAACCGCGTTCCAGTTTTTCATGGAATGCCGGCACTCGATGAAGAATGGCCCCGCGACCAACACGCGACAGGCTCGTAGACCTGCCGCACTGTGGCTCAGTCGATGTAAAGCTCGGGAGGAGGAGGAGGAGGAGGAGGCGGAGGAGAAGGAGGAGGAGGAGGAGGAGGAGGAGGAGGAGGAGGAGGAGGAGGAGGAGAGGAGGGGGAGGAGGAGGTTGAGGAGGGGGAGGAGGAGGAGGAGGAGGAGGAGGAGGAGGAGGCGGAGGCGGAGGCGGAGGCGGAGGCTGAGGCGGAGGCAGAGGCGGAGGACGAGGAGGGGAGGGACGAGGCCGCGCATCGGTGGTGGCACTGGCAGGAAGGCTTGCTTCAACTCCCTTTGTGTCACCAGGCTCCCCTTGAGCGAATCGCCACCAAACGGTGCAGAAATCCCCCCAGGGGTGGGTCTTATCGCCCCACTGGGAAGTGGACCATTACAAAAGGTGCTTCTGGTTCGTCGTCGTCGAGGCCACCAGGCCGCAGCCAGCGACCCAGACGAGACACACCTTTTTGTTGTTGTGCAGAGTGCGTTCCTGTCCACGTCGGATTTTACCGTTCGGTCGACTTCTTCCTCCCCGGGGGGGCCCGGGGCACTCCGAGGCCAGAGCGTGCTCGGCCCCGCGGCGCACGCGGGCGCGGATGACCCGCCCCCCAGGCGCGGGCGCGCCCCTTTGTCGTCGTCGTCGTCGTCCTCCTCCTCCTCTTTCTCCTCCTCTTTCTTCTCCTCTTCCTGCTCCTCTTCCTCCTCCTCCTCCTCTTGCTATTCAGCGCCTCCCGTCCTGCGCGAGGCGGTTGCCGCCGCCGCTCCAGCCCAAGACGCCAGGCACTGCGCTAGGCATCGCAATGCGCCGGGGCTTTCAGCGTGAAGCCGCAGTGCCAGCCTGAGGCTTTCAGCCAAGTGGCAGCCTGCAAGTGCCAGCCTCAGGCTTCCAGCCTCAGGCTTGCAGCCTCAGGCTTGCAGTCCAGTGGCAGCGCCATGCTTTCAACGCAAGTGGCCGCGCGGTGTCGAAGGTGCGCCGCTTCATGTGCCAGCCCGAGGCTTCCAGCCAAGTGGCAGCCTGCATGTGCCAGCCTGAGGCTGTCAGATTGAGGCTTTCAGTCCAATGGCAGCGCGATATCAAAGCTGCCAGTGAAATTCACAAACATCGCAATCACCACCATAACCATCAACACCATCATAACCATTCTCATCACGACCATCATCACCACCTCCGTGCTCTCACCGTCCTCACCATCATAAGCATCACTGTCATCGCCGTCATCCTCATCTCCATCATGAGGATGATGCCGGCGAGAAGAAAGCACTCCGAAGCTGCGTGCGTGCACGTTTCGGAAGCACATTTCGAAAACATTCCGAAATGGCGTGCGTGCATGTTCAACTTAGTTCGAGCAAGGTCAACTTAGTTGAGTTGGCTTGTCATCTTCCGCGCCACATGTTTTGGACTGGTGCTTGTCTTTTTCCCGACCCTCCCTTGGTTGGCTTCTGGTTTTGAATAGAGCAGTGGGTCTCCAAGACCTCGCCTCCCCTCTTTCCTCTCGCCTGCAGGCATGTAGGGGCTTGCATGCCCCCTGCCTCGCTGTCCAGCATGGGGGCTCGCTGGGGGGGCTGCGAAGTGTGAAGCCGTAGCCATTGTTGAGGGCTGCCGGGGGTGTGGGGCAGCACAGTGCGGGACATCGCAGATCCAAGCGGGACCTCGCCATCGCTGGGGGGCTGCGAAGTGTGAAGCCGTCGCCACTTTCGAGGGCTGCTGGGGGGGGCAGCACAGCGCGGGATATCGCAGATCCAAGCGGGACCTCGCCATCGTTGGGGGGGCTGCGAAGTGTGAAGCCGTCGCCACTTTCGAGGGCTGCTGGGGGGGCAGCACAGTGCGGGACATCCCAGATCCAAACGGGATTTCGCCGTCTATGGGGAGGTGACGAAAAGAGGATGAGGAGGACGAGAAGGACCAGAAACGGAAGAGGAGGAGCCCATTCGGCAGCCGCGCCTTCGGCAGATGCGTTCCTGGCTGACTATCGCAAATGCGTTTGTGGTGAGCTCGAGCGAACCTCGAAGGAAAATGCATCGGGGGCATATTTCGGCGGTCTTAACACCACGGCTCCCGAGACGTCGCGGGTGTTGTCGTTGCGGACGTCGTCGTCGTCGTCGTCGTCGCCCCTCTTGACCTGCAGTGTTGCTGTTGCACTATTGTCGAGGCGCCTTCTATTCTTCCCTTGATGCCCGTGGGTTGGGTACGTCGCAGGGCAATTGCTTTTCGAGGCGCCTGCGCGCCAATGAGGGCTTCATGCTGGCTCAAGAGGGTCCCACGAAGGCTCCAAGACGGTCCGCGACCGCCCTGTGACAGTCCACGAGGCCTCCAACACGGCCCGAGATGGCCCAACATAGCTCGTCCTTCCCCCTTGTGGCTTTATCACTTCTTTCGAGCCGGCAGCCTTCTCCTCTCCATCGGCTCGGGGACTCGTTCCGCGGAACATCAGTGCAGAGGAGGAGGGGGAGGCTCAAACGTACCTCGAGAAGTTCGAAGCTTGTCGAGATGCAGACCTTTGGTTCGGCTTCTAGAGGCTGAGACCGCGCGCCAATCTTTCAGAGAGAGTCTTCCCCCAGTAACCGAATCTAGCTTCCCAGGGTCCAGAGGCTGGGCCCGCGCTGGGGGGGTTTGGTGGGGTCTCCGGCAGCCTGCGAAGCATCTCGAACGGGCCCAGAAGGCCTCCAGGATCTCTCAAGAGGGCCCCGCGAGGGTCCGTGGCCATCATTGTCCAGGTGTGGTTGACACGCAGCCATCGCGCCGCTGGTTGAATGCTGTCTCGCCAGCCGAGCTTTCGCCCTGTTCGGTTTGGGCAAGTCCACGCCGAACTCCCAGGCGGCGGAAGTCGTGGGAACGGCGAGGGCCGGCGTTGTTGGGGCGGCGGGGGCCGACGTCTCCCAGGATTGTAATCGCTGTGCAGAACGCCAAGGCGGGCGCGATCAAAAACATATCGAAGATCCACAAGGAGAATGGCGAGTACGTCCAGGCCGCTGCTACTGAAGCTGGTGAGCTCAACGAGTAACCATGCGAACCCTGCCACTGGAATAGTGGAGCTCCCCATGGGACCACGAAACGTGTAAAGGGTGCGCCAGAATGGACCCGAGTGCACATGGGAACCCTGCTAGTGGGGCCTAAGGTGGAGCTCCCTGTGGAGCCACAGAACGTGTGGGGTGTGTGCCGAAATAGACCCGAGCACACATGTGTATGCAGCCACTGGGACCTTCGGTAGGGCTCCTTGTGAGGCCACAAAACGTGTAAAGAGTGTGCCGAATTGGACCCGCGCAACCATGCGGAGGCAGCCACTGGAGCCTTCGGTGGAGCTCCCTATGTGACCACGAAGCATGTGAAGGGGTGTGCCAGAATAGACCCGAGTAACCATGCGGACGCAGCCGCTGGGGCCTTCGGTGGATTTTCCGATGGGGCCACGAAGCGTGTGACGGGTGTGCCGATATGGACCCGAGTAATCCATGCGGACGCAGCCACTGGTGCTTTCAGTGGAGCTTCCCATGGGGCCACGAAGCGTGTAAAGGGTGTGCCGAAATGGGCGTGTTGGCGCTATGCGAACGCAGCCACTAGGAACTTCACTGGAGCTCCCACCTGGGGCCACGAAACGTGTGAAGGGAACGGTATGGGCAATGGTGATGATGATGATGATGATGATGACGATGATGACGGTGGTGATGATGCTGATGATGATGCTGCTGCTGATGATGTTGATGATGCTGATTATGATGATCATGATGATGCTGATGATGAGGAGGAGTTGATGATGGTGATGGTGGTGGAGGTGATGACGATGATGATTGTATCACTGCGCTTCCTGCTCTTCACTAGGGTCACGTCTCTGCTGGTTGAGCGCCCGAGCCCAGCAAGACGTCCAGAGCCACACACGCCTGCGGAACGGAAAAAAACACGATGGCCCACCATACGTTCGGGAATTGACCGTTCAAGGGGTCAGATAGGATCGCGCGAGCTCGTGGCCTTACCCATCTTCTTTGCCTCAGGACAGGACTGTCTGCACAGAGACTCGGTCACCGATCGCACGCATACCACCACGAGCTGCGCAGCATGAGAGGTAGGAGTGTCCAAGGGTTTCTCTTAATCGTGAACTTGTGAAGTTTACGTGGTGTCATAGCGTAGTGTTGACCTCACGTGGGTATGACACTACGCTACGGTTAGTGTGGTGTCATAGCGTAGTGTTGACCTCACGTGGGTAGGACACTATGCTACGGTTAGTGTGGTGTCAGCGTAGTGTTGACCTCACGTGGGTATGACACAACGCTACGGTTAGTGTGGTGTCATAGCGTAATGTTGACCTCACGTGGGAATGGCACTACGCTACGGTTAGTGTGGTGTCAGCGTAGTGTTGACCTCACGTGGGCATGACACAACGCTACGGTTAGTGTGGTGTCATAGCGTAGTAGTGACCTCACGTGGGTATGACACTACGCTACGGTTAGTGTGGTATGGCACTACGCTACGGTTAGTGTGGTGTCATTGCGTAGTGTTGACCTCACGTGGGCATGACACAACGCTACGGTTAGTGTGGTGTCATAGCGTAGTGGTAACCTCACGTGGGTATGACACTACGCTACGGTTAGTGTGGTGCCATAGCGTAGTGTTGACATCACGCGGGTATGACACCACGCTACGGCTAGTGTGGTGTGGACACCTGGGTGTGACGCTACCCTATGACACTACGCTACAGTTGACGGGGCAAGGCGAGGAAGAGTTTTTTACGTTTGCTTTCGTTGGGGTTGGCGAGGCGTTGCTCCGCGAGGGATCGGCGGTTCCGTTAGCGTAGTGTCGTAGCGAAGTGTTAGGGGACACCTGGGTGTGACACTACCCTATGACACTACGCTGCAGTTGACGGGGCAAGGCGAGCAAGAGTTTTTTCCGTTTGCTTTCGTTGGGGTTTGCGAGGCTTTGCTCCGTGAGGGATCGGCGGTTCCGGTAGCGTAGTGTCGCAGCGTAGTGTTGGAGACACCTGGGTGTGACACTACCCTATGACACTACGCTACAATTGATGGGGCAAGGCGAGCAAGAGTTTTTTCCGTTTGCTTTCGTTGGGGTTTGCGAGGCGTGGGTCCGTGAGGGATCGGCGGTTCCGTCAGCGTAGTGTCGCAGCGTAGTGTTGGAGACACCTGGGTGTGACACTACCCTGTAACACTACGCTACAGTTGACGGGCAAGGCGAGCAAGAGTTTTTTGTCCGTTTGTTTTCGTTGGGGTTGGCGAGGCGTTGCTCCGTGAGGGATCGGCGGTTCCGGTAGCGTAGTGTCACAGCGTAGTGTTGGAGACACCTGGATGCGACACTACCCTATGACACTACGCTGCAATTGACGGGGCAAGGCGAGCAAGAGTTTTTTCCGTTTGCTTTCGTTGGGGTTGGCGAGGCGTTGTTCCGTGAGGGATCGGCGGTTCCGTTAGCGTAGTGTCACAGCGTAAGACACTTGGGTGTGACACTACCCTATGACACTACGCTACAGTTGACGGGGGAAGACGAGATGAGTTTGTCCGTTTGCTTTCGTTGGGGTTTGCGAGGCGTGGCTCCGTGAGGGATCGGCGGTTCCGTCAGCGTAGTGTCACAGCGCAGTGTTGGGAACACTTGGGTGTGACACTACCCCATTGCACTACGCTGCGATTAGCGTAGTGTGGTAACACCTGGATGTGACACTACGCTATGACACTACGCTAATTGACACTACGCTATGACACTACACTACGGTTAGCGTAGTGTCATAGCGTAGTGTTGGGCACACCTGGGCGTGACACTACTCTATGACACTACGCTACAGTTGACGTCGCTGTAACACTACGCTATGACACTACGCTATGACACTACGCTACGGTTAGGGTAGTGTCACAGAGTAGTGTTGGGGGCACCTGGCTGTGACACTACGCTATGACACTACGCTCGTGTAGTGTCATAGCGTAGTGTCGCGGTCGCGTGGCTTTGACACTACGCTACGTGAAGTTTACGTAGTGTCACAGCGTAGTGTCTAACTTCACGGTTAAGATCAACTCTCGGAGTGTCCACACTTGGAGGCTACCAACACCGCAGACATGCCGAAATTGCTGCCACCAACACCACGTAGATCCGCCAAGATAGGTCTTTATGAGGTAGCCGTAGGACAGTCTAGTGAGGAACAGGATAGACATAGCCAAAATGTGCAGTGCTCAGCCACAACTGCAGTGCTAACAGACACGTGATGGACTCCACGTAGAACTTGGCACCTCCAAAGGGCATTCACACAGGCATTATCTTCCGAACTCTCGTCGCAACTACTGAATGGAGCATCGTCTACTCAATCCAGCTGCTGAAGGGTATCCTAGAAGCACTTGATCCGCTCGAGCTTGCCACGCGGAGGGTCGCCAGCGAAGTTCGGCCTTGAGAAAGTCGTTCAACTGCTTGACCACAGACGGATTCGACGTGTGTGACTTCGTGAGAAAGGTCTTGATCTCGTCGAAGGTGCCTTCCTCGATCTTCGCCTTCGCACCCCACAATACACTTAACGATACTTTTCTGCGCTGGCGTCAGAACATCGCTGGTGCAACGATCCTTCATGGGCGACGAGACAGGCGAGACCGCAACACTGGCCAACGGCGGCGCCGGTGGGAACTGTTAGGCCTTACCCGCTCCGAACCTCAAGGTCACAAAGCCGCCGTCGTCGAAACAGCTGCCAACGCCTGGCTCAACTGAGAACCAACTGCAGACGGCGACGGCGGGAGGGAGGGCACGAACTTAGTGATGAAAGCCATGGGGTAGCCAAGCTTGAGGAGCGCAAGCACGAGGACCACACTCGACAAACGTGCTTTCCATAGCCAGCCGCGCGACCAGCCGGAAGACGACTAGGCAACGGATCACGAATCTTGCAAAAGGAACAAGGTAGACGTCCAAGCCACTTATTAGTCACCTTATGATGCACTTTCAAGGCTCCAATCATCCACAAACGTGGGGCTGGTTCTTCAACGATTCAGCTCATCGAGTACGAGTAAAGACGGAATTTCAAGTTCACCCAATCAAGCACCTCACCGTCAGAATATAGACAACCCGCATCATAGATGGTCGGGTTCCCCGAGGACTGAAACGCGGCCGACACTGGCTCCGAGAACATAGTTTCTACAAACACTTCGATACAGTCACTGCAACAATACACATTGCAAAGCTGCAAGACAACACGTCATCCACGTATCGACGCCACTTCTAAGCAGACTCGATTTGAGGCAGATGGGAACCCCAAGGCCTCAAGCTTCGAAACATCTTAGACCATAAGACAGGGCCAACCAGGCACGGCTCCAAGAACGAGTGCCCGAAGTGGCCCTATATTGCTTCCCGTTCGCAATCAGAATTGTATCAACATCTGCTCGCGAACGAAACTGAGATTCCAACCACGGCCATGCCGCCGGCATGGCGTTTTGATCGCGGCAATTCTCGATTGGCTCGTCAATGTCGAACGTCGAAACATGGAGGCGGCCATGCATATGACGGCCACAGAGCAGACAGCATCCATGTACAGGAGGTGCTGACATGTCTGTGAGATCACGCCTCAAGATCCTGCCAACGTCACCAATGTTGAATATTTCATAACCAACGCCAGAGGTCGCAAGAACAGCTCGAACAGCACGGCCAATGACTTTCCACGACCGAGCAACAGGTATCGACGACATCGGTAGTGCGTCTCATGCGCGAGTGAGCTAAACGGCCACACTTCCACTCACCATAATCTGAACTTCATTTCGACTTCACTTCGATGTACGCCGCGATGCGCACCACGACGGGCACGAAGGAATTCAGGTAGACCCAACTGCGCACGAGCTTCATACCACACAAGAACATCACGAGGCCATAGGAGCGTACGATAACGCCACAGTGATGCATCCGCCAGCTTCTGGTGAACAGGATACGGACCTATCGCCCCATCCTCAATCAGCCAAGCCTTCATCGAATCCTTCTCATCCCACGTTAACGCACCACGCTGTCGAACCACTTCGCGAAAACGATCCTCTAAATCAGCCCAAGGCCCAGGAAGAGGAGGGACATGGAAAACTTGAACCTCATGCGCTAGAGCAATTCGATCACGGCGCCGAGCACGAGGATGAAGCCGATGACGATGACACCAGTCCGCCCAAGTGCGCTGCACCAATCGGGACATACGAATTGGTGTCGAAACAATCGGCAGCTTCCATGGACCACCGAATGCACTCAACGAAAGGGAAGTAGCACAGCGCCCAAGCCACGAACTTGATTCATTGTCGAAATTTGAACGGCACAGCCCACGAAAGATTCTCGTCACATCAAACTTATCAGCCCGAACGGGACTCTCAGCAGGTAAGACCCAAAGATGCTTACAGAGCCAGCCACCGCCGCGCAGATTCACACCGTATCTCCTGCAATGCGAGCTGGAACAAGCGACGAAGTAAATGCAGACGCCCGCCACCGTCACTGGTGGTAATCGTGGCCGGCCACACAGACGATTAAGCTGAGACTTCGCAGCACATTGGGACGAGAAACCACCCATCTCCGTCTTAGTAGAACCAGCCAACTCATGAATACCTATACGACCACTCTTCGGGTGATAAGGAGGTTGGGTGGGGGAAGGGAAACCCACTGACAACAACTGCGATGACTGTGGTGATGATGAGATGGCGCCATCGATCTCGCGAATTTCATAATCGTTTTTACCATCGATCTCACTGTCGCTCTCGATGTCGATCGCACCATCGACCTCACTATCGATCTCACAATCGATTTCAAAATTGATTTCACAAGAGATAACATTACCGACCTCACAAGAGATCTCATGAGACAGCATCAGGGCACCACGATGGGGCACCCCCAGCCACGGCGGGCCACCCCCACCCAAAGATCTGTTGTGATCGATCTCGCTATCGATCTCACTATCGATTTCTCGATCTCACGATTGATCTCACGATCACGATCGATCACGCAATCGGTCTCACTATCGATCTCACAACTAGTTTCTCGAGCTATCATCGAGACACCACGGCGGGACACGCAGAGCCACGGATGGGGCACCTCCGCGCCACCGACGGGGCAATCCGGGATCGATCTCACGATCACGATCGATCACGCAATCGATCTCACAATCTATCTCACTATTGATCTCAGAACTGATCTCACGAGCTACCATCGAGACACCACGGCGGGACACCCGGAGCCACCGTCGGGACATCCCGTCCCACCGACGGGACACCGACGGGACACCGACAGGACACCGACGCGCCACCGACGGGACACCGACGGGACAACCCGACCACCGCGCGCTGGGTGGGCGGGGGGGCGGACAACCGGCTCCATTGCCCCTAGCCACGGCGGCATCTTTCCTCTCGCGCGCCTGTGCAGCTTCGCCTCGCCCGCACGCACGACGCGAACACGAAACCGAAACCGATTTCCCAGTGGGGGGCTCTCCGTTCCACTGCGACCTCACCCCCCGGCCTCCGATACTCAGCCTTCTGCCACAGGCACCAAGACTTTGGAAATACCATAACTACATCCTTCGAAGCACAATAAGCAAGTCGCATGCTCAAGTACAAGGGGTTCAGATCCATCAAGTTGACAGGGCCGGATACACCAGTAGAAATAGCCATACACTGAAGGTGAATCAGATGCGCTTCTTACAACTCCCACGGATTAAGGAAGGATCTCTCAAAGACTTCACTGGTTTCTTACTTAGAACATCACGGACTATTGTCGATTGTCACACTGAAGATGTCGAATGAGCCCGAAACCTTGAGAAAGGTCGAGCACGCGGTTCAGCACGCTCAGGACGAATACGAACACCACGATGTTGGATATTCTACAAGAGTCGGTAATCACCACCATTACAGTTAGGACGTAGCATTTGGTTCAGCGCCCTCTCGATGGACAGCACCTTGATCTCAGTCGGACACCACACAACGGGAAGAACACCAATCCTACTACATACCAACTACCTCAGGGAAACATCTCTAGGCAAATGAGAACCACGGCGTAATGAACACCCAGCAATGCTGTGTAGTGTTTCGTAGCCATTTTGGCTCAAGGCGATTCGGCCCAAGCCCTAGGCCCTGGACACAGCTGGCGCCCTCGCCGCCTCCACTTCCGCTCGATCGAACCAGTTCTCGCGACCCTCGGCAATGGCGACGAGGGCGATCTTTGCCCTGAGCCTCCCGGCGGTCGCGTCCGCGCTCAGCGTGCACGACGCTGGCCGCTCGGAGGCAAACACGACCAAGACGCGGGCAGGCAACTGCGACTGCATGTCGTGGGCCGACGTCTACTACACCGACAAGGCCTGGTGTGGCCGCGCGAACGAGCTGTACTTTCTGAGCAAGAACGGGTTCTCCGCATCGTACGCAGCCACCGAGCCCATCACTGGTTTGCCGCACAAGGTGTGCGCCGACTTCTTCAAGAACTTTGCCGACGCGTCTTGCCTGAACATAGACTTGTACCCCTTCCCTGAGGACGAGAAGAGTGGGAAGCAGTGGTGCTACGTCTCGAACGACTGCGCCGACCTTAACGGGGGCGGGTATGCCACGAACGCAGAAGGCTTCGCGCAGAGCAGTTGGCACAACTTGCAAACTGCGTCCTTCCAACAGTGGAAGATTTGCGACCCTGCCGAGGCGAACACCGAGGCGATGATGGCCCAGCCCGTCCCCACGGTGGTCGCGAAGGGGCAGGCCAGCGACGTCCCCCTGTCCCGCTTGCTGCGGCTGGCGTACCCCGCCGTGAACATCAGCTGGGGCCAGGCAAAGTTCCTGTGGGACGCCATCAACGAGGAGTACGACGAGAGCAGGACCATCGCCGAGATGGTCGATGCCGTTCCGCCGGTCAGCGGCTGGGGCAGCGCCATAGAGGAGGCACACGCCCGGCTGCGCGAGATCGCCAAGTCGGAGCAGGGCACCGTGCTGGACTCTCCGGGCCACGGCGACAACTTCCACGTGGTCCAGGGGCGCGCCGCGTACGCGGTGACGCGGGTCCCGCTCGGGAACATGGCGTATTTGGGCGGCCACTTCTCCAAGGAGTACGAGGTCACCTGCCTCGTCGGCTGCGCAGAGCCCGAGGGCCGCGACGCCGTCGACCTGGACACGATGTGA